ATGAGGACCAGGAGACACCAAATATCCAAAGACTAAGGAAGGGAACTGCCTCAAATGCAGAAATGAGTAACACAAAATGGCGGCCTCACTAAGATGGTGGCCTACCTCCCTACAGAAATATGACCACCCAGAATGACCACCCTTGTAGAAGGGGAGAACTCGTGTGTCAATCGTGAAAAACTGTGTCAGTTCTCAATTTAGATCACTTCTTCCCACTGAACAGCCAATTTCAAAATTATTTTGAAAGAATTGAGGTCTCAAAATGGCCGCCGCGGCCTATGCAAGGCCCATGAGGCTCAAAATGGCGTCTCAGACGCAGGCCGGGGCCAGGGAACCGTTTTCACTCCCCCCCCTCACACTGAGAAGCCTCGCACGCCGATCAGCAACGAACGGAGGAATCGGGGGAAAATAACTTTATTCAGTCCCCTAGGGCCGTCGAAGCCGCCGATCGAAAAAAAAGGAGGCCGAGCGCGCACGCGCGCACACCTCCGCGATCGAAATAACAACTTGAAATAAACCCGACGATCGCTCCAAAGGGACTGCAGCCGCAGCCCCGTGAAGGAAAAAACGGCGCCGAAGCTAATCCAGGGATCTCCCCCCCTTTTGCTCGGCGCGAAACGCGCCCGAATTAACAGAGCCGCAGCCGCGGACTCCGAGAAGGTTGAACTCAGAGAAAGACACCAGCCGATGTCTTCCTAACGAAGTGAGGCCGAAACGCCTCCCGGGCTCGCCCCTTCCCGTTTAATCAATCCACGGAGCCGCAGCCGCAAGCTCCAGTGGGCTTGAGGTGATCTGAGACCAACAGCCGTTGGCCTCCTTCCTGGGAAGAAGCAGTCCCGTTCGATCCCCTGCAGGCCCAACCCAATTTGAGAAATGAGCTGAGAGACTAACAGCCGTTAGTCTCCTTGTGAACACCCACAGGGATTGTTGAGGGGAAATAGAGAAAAAACCGAATTAGGTGCAAGCACAGGTGAAATTTTTAAGATTTTGAATTGGGAGGGGAATGGAGATCCACCAATGACTGTACCTGCCTAGAGCCAAACTTGCAACGTCTGTCCTGGGCAAGATCAAGTCAAAGACTGGAGACCAACGGTCCAGGACGGGCGTGGCAACTTTGGCTGACTTGATCTGATTGGGCAGGAATACAGTCTACTACCCAATGGTGGAGTCTCCATCTCAGTGCTGGAGAATATCGTCTCACATCCCCAGGGGGTGCGAGCACCCCTGGTTGGGGAACCCCTGATCTAGTCCATATCTCATGAAGCAGATGATTGTCAAAAGGTCCTTTTTCAGTGGTTGCATCAGGTGGGCAAATTCAATCTTGGGAATATGTTGCCTGATAAAATTCTGATATTGAGCTAAATACAGTTTTAAGATAATCACCAGCCCTTTGAAATGGACTCAGAATTATTGCCACATGTTGTATCAGCTGTAGCTTCCAAGTAATCTCCAAAGACAGCCTCATTTACGACATGCTAGCTAATTGGATGTTGATCAGTTTTTGAGTTACTGAGGTCAGAACGTTGTGGCTCAATTTCATTATTATTGAAGCACTAACCAATGAAAGCCACACTGCCATGGTTTCCAACTGCTATTTGAGGATAAAATGAAAGTGCAAACAAATTCTTAAGTCATCTTCTTCAGGGGAATGCATCTCCATCCAGAGTAATACTAGGATTTATGTTATTGAGAGTTACTACAGCTGCCACAAAGAAGAGGGAGTCAAGCTATTCTCCAAAGCGCCTGAAGGCAGGACAAGAAGCAACGGATGGAAACTAGTCAAGGAGAGAAGCAACCTAGAACTAAGGAGAAACTTCCTGACAGTTAGAACAATTAATCAGTGGAACAACCTGCCACCAGAAGCGGTGAATGCTCCAATACTGGAAGTTTTTAAGAAGAGACTGGACAGCCATTTGTTTGAAATGGTATAGGGTTTCCTGCCTGAGCAGGGGGTTGGACTAGATGACCTCCAAGGTCCCTTCCAACTTTATTATTATTGTTATTGTTGTTGTTGAATCTATTTTGCCCTATCCAGATGCCCAAACCTTCTAGATGCTGGTTCAGCATCTTCAGTTTAGTGCATAACAGTAAGGTATCAAATATTAACAATATACTTACAATGGCTTACTCTTAAGCAAATAAATTTCTCTCTTCTGATTTCATGAAGTTAGTAAACANAATTGGGAGGGGAATGGAGATCCACCAATGACTGTACCTGCCTAGAGCCAAACTTGCAACGTCTGTCCTGGGCAAGATCAAGTCAAAGACTGGAGATCACGGTCCAGGACGGGCGTGGCAACTTTGGCTGACTTGATCTGATTGGGCAGGAATACAGTCTACTACCCAATGGTGGAGTCTCCATCTCAGTGCTGGAGAAGTTATGGGTTCTCCATTGCTGGAGGTTTTCAAGAAGAGATTGGACAACCATTTGTCTGGAATGGTATAGGGTCTCCTACTCAAACAGGGGGGTGGACCTGAAGACCTCCAAGGTCCCTTCCCATTGTTATTTTGTGTTCTATGAAAGTCATTGGCAGATGAGCAAAACTGTAAAGTGAAAAGCCTTTTCTTATTCATTTTCTGCATGGCATTTCTTCAGGATGAGAGATGCTGTTGTCTCAGTGACTGGCCAGGGAAAAAAGGCTCTATAAAATACAAGAGAACTGAAGCTTTCCACAGACTCCCTAATAAACAATGGATGGGTGATGAACAGGAAGTTCTGTCGGACACCGGTCTCATTTTATTCCCATGCTATTGAACTGATTACTAAATGGAATGGTGGTGACATTTGGGATGAGACCAAATGATGAGCCAGAAAAAAGACAGAATTGCATGAATATTAAGCATATATTGCCTGCTTTATTGTCTACTGTTTGTGTTTATTGTACTCTATCACATTGCTGTATTGTATTATGTTGTATTACAATAATGTTCAAGGGTGCTCCGAGCTTTAGCAAATGAGGTTCCCTACCTGAAACGGTGGGGCAAATACCTTGTCTTATTTCCTTTCTCAGTGACAGACTGCTTCTTGTTTTCTCCTTTCCACAGGCTCAGTGAGCTGAATGTGACCCACCCCATCTCCGAGAACCTTTTGTTTTGGAGAGAGAGGTAGTGGCTGCTACTGCCACTGCAGGAAGTGGCAGGGTGGGAAGGGAACTGGCCTGTTGCTCTGATTGCTGGGTTTCTTCTGGGAATCTTGGCCGTGCCGCCTTCACATCTCTCTTAAAATAAATCCAGATCTCCAAACCTAATGTTGAGCCAGCAGCCGTAGAAGATAGCCGACTAAAACCGTCTCCACCAGACCCCATCCTGCCTGACACGCACCTCAGTTTTTTCAGGGTAACACTTCTTTTTCTTTTCTGTTTTGTTTTAAAAATAAACTTTACAAGGAAAAGTCACTCTGCTTTTTAGTTAGAGTTGGAACATTCCTCGGACAAAGGTGTTGGTGTTTCAGACAACCCCATCCCTGCCCTTCCATTTTCTCCACTGCTGGGACTGATCGTGTTTTTGTCTGTTCAAGAGGAAATTGGAACAAACAATTATATGCTCAAAATTTTTACTTTTTACCGCTCGTTTTTAACTTCACAAATAAATGATAACAAAACATCCCCCTGTGTCTGCTGGGTGGTGTCTTTCTCTCTCTGTCTATAGGGTTTTTTGAAGCTGATGTTTGTTCACGATATAGCTGTTGTAAAAGCCTGATAATGGTCATGAATTAAGAGCTTCCTGTGTTTTTATAGTTTGAGCAGGCATTTGTGCATTTTTGTTGAATAAAATGCTTTTTTGTTTTAAAGTCTCTGATGCAAATGTGTATGTTTCCAAAAACAGGACCCAGAAGGTTTGAATGTTGCCAGGGCAGTGGGAACAGATATTTGATGTGAGCAGGGGCAGGCTTATTTCTTAATGAGGTTCCATAGATTGAATTGTGATTTGGCTTGTGATACTTGAAATTCAATGTATGTACAGTTTTGAAACAGCTTCATTCTTAGGTATCAGCATATGGGAGTGGTACATCATAAAAGTGAATTTTCCAGCTTCTTGCACCAATGACTAGAACCCCCTAGCAGATTATTCATCATTAAATCTATTTGGATAATTTGGTCTAAAATGCTTTGCAGGATCTGAGAAGATATTTGGAAATATACATGAGGGTACTCTTTCCACTAAAGAATAATTTTCTTCAGCATTTGGTCTCCCTTCGCTGCCTCCCATCTCCACCCCTGTTGTGACAGGCTGGGATAAATTACTTTGAGTCTCAGCTGGTATTACAGAGAGATTTTAAAAACAGACCAAGGACTGTATATACAACTAAGGACTGAGGCCTACAAGATACTTTTTATTTTGAGTTGAAAGGGAAGGAAGCATGAAGTGTCCTCTGATGCAAGGCATTCACAAATCTGTTGACATGGGCAATACAGGTAGTCCCCAACTTACAACCACAATTGGGTCCAGAATTTTAGTCATTAAGTGAATCATGTGACCAGACTTGATTTTACAATTACTTTTACTGCTTTCTTTAAGTAAATCTGATTTCCTCAGTTGAGGTTGTTTGCTGGAAACCTATCAGAAACTGTCTGGGAAAGTCACATATTGCAATCACATGACCACAGGATGTTACAGCAGGTAAATGTGAGCCAGTTGCTAATTGCCTGACTTGCGATCAGTTGACTTTGGGGGTGGTGTGGCAGTCGTAACTTTTAGGGACAGGACATAAATCACTTCTGAGACCCATAATTTTGAACCATTGTTAACTGAATAGTTGTTAATCAAGGACTATCTGTAGTCATAACTTAATGGAAGTGATGGGTAAATATGCAGTTGTTTTTAAAATGTCACTATACCTCCTGCTGATACTCATTTGTGATTCAGATGTGTGAAAAGTATATATTAGAGTTCAAAAGTGTTGTGTTGGAAAAGTGCCCAATTATAATTATATCCATGTTCCTGATATGTATCATCACCAGCTGAAAATGCTTATGGTTAGTAATTCCCAGAATGTCTTATCTTGGAATTTTGCTACCTCAGACATGATTTGGAGATAGGATAATCTTTGAAAGTACAAACTTAATTCCAGAGATAAATTAAACAAGTGGGAATGTATCCTTGACTGAGGAATTTCAGAAAGAGCATCTCAATTAATGGAATGACCTAAAACTACTCTGTAGATCACAGCTTGCTTATATGCTGCAACAGTAACTCCCCTTTATTTTATGATTGTTTACTGTGAAAGTGATCTTTCATTCTTGTTTTGGCCAGCAGTTCACTTTGCTCACAGAGAACCATTTGCAATCATGGCTTTTCTTGGAGATTGCAGGATATAATTTAACCTAGATTTCTGAATACATCGTCATAGACAGGACCACTCTCTGTGCTTCAGATTATTAGGTGAGGTTGATGCAGTTCTGAATCAAGATCTTTTTTTAAAAGGGGGGGGGGGTCTGAGGAAGGCATGCTAATAGACCAGAGCTTAAAATCTTTTATTTTTCTGTAGAACTAAATAGCTATACCAGAGGTAGCTGCTTTTATCACATCATCAACAACACTGCAGCACTTGGCAAAGACTACTTCTGGGGGTTCCTCCCCAAGGATCTGCAAATACAAAAACAGCGATAGACTCTTAGATACCTCTTTTAGAACAATCTAGCCTCTTTAAGCTCTTTGAATAACACCCAAGTTTAGAAACAGGGTTGCCTTAACTCATAGGGTTACAGTTATAGGGATGTCTAAACAAGCCTAAATACAGTAAAATTTTCTTCTTGAATAAACTACTGCTATCTATTCAGATGCTGCTGGGAAGTATGGAAATAATCCATTAAACAGCTTCTCACCATTATGGGATACTGATAAATATGTTCCTCTGAACACTGAGATCATCCAGAGATGTTATAGCCAAATTAAAACAACACCTAAATGGTCTTTTTTTTTCTTCATCTTATGACAGTTAATTTACTATGCAAAATGTGATTTCAGTGAAGAAATGTTTTATGCACTTTATTTATTGTGAAGCTATTTTCTGTCAATGCTGTTGGGTGACTCTGAGAGGAATAAAAACATAAAATGAAAATTGTAAAAGCTAGTTAACCTGCAATATCAATTCATTTTTCCATATTTCATTTTATGCTAAAATATCCTTTTAGGGTATAGTATGATAATTTTTGTTTAAGAAATAATGAAATTAATTGATATTGGGATATATTCATGTGGAATGCTATGCTCTCAAGACAGCAATATGAGACTGGATAGATTATTTTAGCTATTCCAAGGGAAAAAAATAAATACTGTTTTCATACTTTTAAGAATTCTATATAGAGCTTTTCTTTTACTGGCTCAAAAGCAACATGTTAAACAAATAGAATGTGATTCGAACATTTAGGATTCTTGTGAAATGCCTGCTGGTGAATAGAGGGAGCCAAAATACAAGAGTAAATTAGGTAATGCTTCTAATACAATATCCCCACTGCAGCAAATTTAAGTTTCCCCTAAGTAATGTTCTCTCTCATTTCTGATGTGTATGTGTGTGGGAGGGAATATTTTGTGAGCTTTACCCAAACCAAATACAAATTTGTTTGCCTTAATGTGAGTGTAAGAGTAACTTGCAAATCTATGTGATAGCAACATGTTAAAACATTTTCCTAATATACTTTCTACTTTTTGTATTTTAATTATGTCACATACTCCTCCCCCCCCTTTTACCACTATCATTATATATCATTTATATTTATAATTGGCTTAATGGGAAAGAGAGAGCATTTTTGTTGGAAAGTGTTGCTTTAGTCCCAAACAGAATCAAACTGAGCATAGTCCCTCCTATCCCAAGCAGCTAGGCTTTCTTTGCCCAGGATCGGGGGGGGGGGGGGGCAAAGGATAAGAGACCTACATTCCGGAGTATGCTTTTCTGCAGGTAGTAAGTGAGGACAGGGTCACACAGTGTATAGTGAGTCTCAAGCCGTTGCCGGATAATTCTCTCATGGTCATTCACTCTTTGGCCCAGCTGGCTTCTGATCATCAGCCGCTGGATCATAGTCTCTGTAGAACAGTCGAACACTATAACAATGTTGGGCAAACGTCCCACCTGCAATGGGAATGGCACAGGTTGGTTGGTTCACCCTTAGCTTTTTCATTAATATCTAACATAGATTTGTTTTGGTCTAAATTAGCCATTTCAAGTTCTTTCCTAGAGTTAAAACAGAACAGTCCTAGGTTGAGCCAACCAATATATTACCAGTATTTACTTCCATATTCTCATCCAGTGACTCCTGTTCCAATTCACAACATCCTACGGAGAGTACCCATCTCATGAGACCAGGTATAGGCAAGATAATGTCAGTTTCTCAATCTACAAACATGACCGACAGTGAGGAATGATGCAGACTGAAGTCTAAACACTGGAAAGGCTACAAGTTGCCTGCATCTGCTGTAAACTAAGCCATCCTTTCATGCACGCACGCACAGACTATACTTACAACTTCCTCAAACAGCCTGGCTTGATTGATTTCTCGGGGGAAGCCTTCAATAAAGAATCCTTTGAAATTTTCAGCTTTTAACATCCTGTCAGTCAGCAGTTCTAAGATGTAGCCCTAGAGAAAAAAGTGCAATGAATCTCAAAAGACTCAAAGATTTTGCAAATCATACTGCTCTGTCTTCTTTTCAGGATAGGGATGGCTGTTTAACCCACTATCTTGATATCCAAAATTTTATGGTAGCAAGTCAGGAAAAAAAAGTTAAGCCCTTTTATTCAAAATGGTAAACAGAGTTCACCTTTCTTGGACTTTGAGAATCAGCAAAGGGGAAGATTAAAAATAAATCCGAAAAAGGTCTGTCGTTGTCTCTAAAGGCTATTGCCTGAAAAATGCAATGTTCATATCAATTTCCTTCCAGTATAGTCCTAGGAAACCAGAAGCAAAGTGGTTATAATCACAGAACCACATCCTTATCATCTTGCAGGGTGCCTACATACATGACCCCCCCCCCCAAAAAAAACCCATAGAACTGGCTTATAAATCTCTAGTTAGCCTTTTTGCAAAATTATAACAATTTAAGGAAAAAACTGAAAGTTTGTTTGAAATTTATTTTCAGCAATAGTCCCATTGTAACCAGCTAAATCTTTCCAAGAAATCCATAAGCTATTTCCAGTATTGTTCCACAATGGCTTTATACCCAACCATGTATTTCTGATTCTAGAAGTTCCACTTGCCTATTGTCTTTCTGAACAGCTGCAGGGGATGGAACTGTCTACGTCTTAAAATCTGTTTTGATTTTTGACTGAAGTCAATGAGATCTTAAATACATCATGATTGTGTCATGTCTTGCATCTTACAGTTCGGTGATTATTACAGCAAGAATGGGCAATGCTGGGCTCGTGTCTCTTTTTGTAGCATTTCTCCAAAGTTTGCACCTCTTAAATCTAGTAAAAAGTTACCCAATCACAGCACAATGCTCTGCCATTCTTCAAACCAAACTGCACATAGGTCATCAATGTGGGCTTGCCACAGTTAAAAAGAAGCCTTTAAAAACCCTCTGCCATTATAACCTATTTGCCTGTTTGTGACAGCATTGTCTCAGTCGCAGTCATGGTCTTTATATAAGACTGGAATGTTAAATGCTTCCATTCAATAACAAAACTGAGGGAGACCCACCTGGTATCTTAACTAAGAAAAGAGAGCAGGTGGCTGCAAAGAAATTTATTGACAACTATTGCTGAACAGATCTCAAAAAAATAAAGAAAATAAAAGGATAATCAGCCATCCTTCACTAACCAAAATTCTGCCACAGAATATGCAACTTCTGAATTTTAGAGGTTATATCTAACTCAAAATCTGACATGTTGGATGGTAAATGGTTCTAAATAATCTGAGTTAACATCCAAATAGAAGTAAACTCTCAATGGCAATAACTGAATTTAAAGTAGTAGAAGTAAACTCAATGGCAATAATAGAACTGAAGAAGTTTGGATGAGAAGCAAAATGTCTTCAAGGAAAAACAAAATCCAGTTGCCTTTTTTTGGGGGGGGCGGGGGAAGCACCTTTGGGATAACCATGACCTGATTGAGAATCTCCATAAAATCTCAATGGCATATTAATTGACAGTGAAATTAACACACATGGATAAATTCACTGAAGATGTCAAACACATTTCCATCTTCAGGATGAGAATGAAAGGGATGAACTGAATATTAGCTCAGATAATATTGCTTATGTAATTATAATCATGCTGTCAGTTATTACAGAAATCCTTTTCTTCCTTGAAAATACTGAGCTTTAAAATGCAACATACACAGTGGACTGAATCCATGCTATATTAGTCTCATTAAAATCAATAGCCCTTAATTTAGTAATGAGTCATTTGTATTCATTTCAGTAGGAAGAAAGCACAGCCTACATCTAGTCCAGGTTTTTTTAAATGTTCTTAATAAAAATGGATTCTGCCCAGAATAGATATACTGTAGTAGGGCCTTACCGAGGGCACCAGAGCCCCTTTCAGCAGGATCTCCCTAATGGCTTTGCCCTTGCTAGTACTCCTGCTGGCTTCTTCCCGCAGCAGTTCTCCAATAGCCACATGGGAGAAGTCGTATTTGCTAGCTAGCCGGATACTCTGCACATCTTTACCAGAGCCAGGACCTCCTATCATAAAGATGATGATAGAGTCTTTCAATTTTTCTGCAGCAAAAGAAAAGACAGTCATGGAAGGATGCACTACTCAGGCAGTTTCTACTAAACAACAATTGCACTTTGCAAAGTGGGACCCCCTAGCAGCTTACCCAGAAAGAAAGGAGGTCTTACAGATTTTGAATACAATTAAGATACTACTAGTCAGAGTGAGCAATCCAGCAGAATGTCTTTTTGCACATAAAGCTACCTTAGACGAGTAAGGTAATCTGTCAGTCACTCTCATCCAATAATTTATATTCCCACAATAGCAGTTCTTCAAGGTTTTGAGTGTAAGTGCTGATACTGGTTGTTCAAGCCATGTGTTCTACCATTGATGGTCCTGAGCAAGATATATCAGTTTTCCTTTACCTGAATGCTAAGTGAAATCTTACTAACCACTGACAAGTATGTTCAGTCTACCGGTCTTATATTAGGACTTAAATTTCAACTCCAAATCTCAAGAGTGGAATATCTAGTCTAATTTTAGGGTTCTGTTGCTTCTTCCTCTGTTCTGCATTTCAGAAGCTTTCTGACACAATGAAGAATTCTGAAGAGTCTGAATATATGCACACTCTGGTGTCATTTCAAGAAGTTGACTATAAAGTTGATCTAAAAGCTCCAAGGGAGGGAAGAATTGCTGCTGTTAGTTTGCAGGCTTTTATATTTTCTTCTTTGTTCACCTGTCATTAAGCAGATGGAACAGGACTGGTCCAAAACAGCCTTTGTGATAATGGCTGGGAATGATCCGAGTCTTTCTCTAACAAATCTGGATTGAATCCAGTCAGAGAAATTCAGATCCAGCCCTCTCCCTAAATAATACTGTCACACTCCACCATGCCATTTTATTTTGAATCAGAAATGACACATGGGCAGTTACTTTGGTTTGTAAACTAGAGCATGTAAATGTGAAGTTTGCCAAAGAACCCATGCTGGAGAGGCAGCAGCATCAAGTGGCAGGCAGAAGAGCCAAATGGGAAACAGACCAACTTCCCCTATGTAGTGCATGATTCCCTGGAAAATTTTCTTTATCAAGCCCTACTGAATGAACTAGAATTTGCATATTTGTTCTGCTAAAGCTTATAGAAACTCCTTGTGTATTGGGTGTTGGGGAAGGTTTCAAGCTAATAACCCTCCCCATCCTATTGCTAGGAAACAGAATCAAAAGAAGCCTGATGACTAGAAGCTTGCTGATATACTACTCTAAATTACAGCATATGTAGAAGGGAAGAAACTGAGTACCTTTTAGTTCATGCTTCAAGGGTTTAGTGGATTTTGGAAGACTGCCCTGGCAAATCCCCATTCTGAAGACTCATCCCAAGAACTCCAGGCACTGGTCCAGCAGACTGCAAACTGATGTACAAAACTAATTTGGCCATTTCAGCTTAGCTGACATGTGACTCCCCTGGGATATCTTTCTGATGTCACAGACATCTGATGTCAAGACTCACCAAACCTGGATCAAGCAAAACTGGGCGGGGCAGGTTGCTTTCATGGTTGGTAATCTGTTGCAACTAGTCTAAACTGTTCACAAAGAAGTGCTTCTCTCAGCTCAACTCTCTCAACAAATAAATGATGTCATTCAATTTCTATTTGCATATCTTTGTTATTTTGTGGTTTTCTCCCGTTCCTGCACTACCTGCTGTCCACAGGTAGTACACCACTATACAGTACAGGCTTTTTTTTGGCCTTGAACAGTTAAATCCGAGATGTTATGTGTGCTTGTCTGTTTGAAATCACAGAGCACTTTAGCTTCATTTTCTATTACCGTGTCTATTTTCTGGTCCCACCAGTTCTTATATATGAACTATTTTGTATATGTCTGTAACTGATTAGGAGATATATCTAGAAGCCTGTATGGTGTAATAGTTAAAATGTAAGCCCCGAGTTCAATTCTCTACTGGCATTGAATAGATCAGATTCAGTGGAGTCTAAACATGTCTATTCACCCCCTATGCTCCTTTGAAAGGGAGCTGTTCTTCATGAATTCCTATTGCAAAGCATGAAATTACAACGCCATTTTAAATACAGTAAATTACTCCCTTCTTTCCCATCTCCCCACCCTGCTTGCCAAACGACGCTACCGCACGCTAACTCAAGATTTCATAAGACCCACCCCGCAACTTCCGCTGAAAAGAACAGGCGTTTCCGCTCATACTCCGGTAATAGGTGGAAACCAAAGAGATTTTCCTTTCAAACCGGAAAGCTGCAACTTCAGGTTAAGCTGCAAACCCCCGGGGAACAAGAGCAGAGTGGAAGCAGAAATAAATCAGAAGGAGCGTTTACGTAGAATGGGCAAAACTGCAGGTTCTCGTTCTCTAAAGCGAACCGTAAATGAACTGTGTGGCTGATCTGAAAACAGTTATATAAAATCTCAATTAGACTGTTAGCCAAAACACGTTACAAGAAAAGACCACATTAAAAGAAATAGTGTTAGAAGCAAGGATTGAATGCCACCCCGTGGTATTTACTTAAGAGGCCCTTCCTCTTACACCAGGCTAGAAAAGGAAACCATGAGTTATGCCTTGGGCATAAAGCCAAGCTGGGCGACCTTGGGACAGTCACTCTCAGCTCTAGGAAGACGGCAAGATCAAACCACTGCAAACTGCGAAGACTGAGAATCAATCTAAACCTAGATTGCATTCCTGGGGAGACTGTTTAATATCAATCTGACATGAAAGTTTTCTTTGAAAGCTGTGAAGACTCACACGGCATTTCTTTAACTCTAACCCTTGTGTTTACAAGACGTGAATTTGATCAAACAGATTAGAGACCAATCCCAAGCTCACATAAAAAGAATTTATGGAGTATTGGTTGAATTGGACTCGGAAACAGAATTGGTAAAGGATTGTATGATAAAATGGGCTCAAAATATAGAAGAGCCGATTTCATTGGACACATGGGAGACAATTTGGATTAGAAATGTAAAATTTACTCA